CACATTGATGTCCGCCATCATTTTATAAGAGATCACCAACAAAAAGGGGACATTTGCATTGAGAGTGTGGGCACCGAAGATCAACTTGTCGATATCTTCACCAAGCCACTTGATGAGAAGAGGTTTTGCAAGCTAAGGAATGAATTGAACATACTTGACTTCTCCAATTTGTGTTGATGCACCCCCCCCCCCCACCCACTTATATGACATGCCTCTTCTTCGAGCAATCCAAGGTAAAAGTTGATTGGTATGGCATACATCCTTGCTAAGGACATGTTTAGTGCATCTAAACATATTTCACATTTGAATAGGCTCATTCATGAAAATCAAATGTATTTGATGCTTGTATGGTACCGCTATTGCTTGTATGCTTGAAATGATCTAGTGGTAGCATATGACATGTTTGTGGGCTTGTAAACCTAAGTGTTTGATCTAGAAAATAAGCTATAAGTGTTTAACTCAACATGGTACAAGATAACCCTTATTTGGAGGTGTGAAGAAGCTTGTCCTTAGATCAAACCGAGTTAAATATCTTTTGCAAGTGATCTAGATTGAACCAAATTAGGAAAATAATCCTCACTTCACATGGTTTCACCCCAACCTATCTAAAATTTGAGCTCACCTTTTTGTGCTAATTGTTGACAAAGGGGGAGAGAAATTCACAAAGATAGTAAGATAGGGGGAGCAAACAAATGAAATGACATTGTAAGGGGATCAATCAAAATTGCACACAAGTAGGGGGAGCAAGCTCATAAACTTGTATGTTGCATTCGAATGTGCATTTCATATATTTGCTTACATGGCACAAGTTTTAAATTTCAATATCCATGCTTATGTGGTGTATGCTAGTTATAGATTTGAATGATGAAATGAAAAACTAGCATGCGTAGGTTAAGTAACTAGACTCATGCTCACATTATGAAAACTAGACCCTTACTTCTAATGTTGATCTCATGGGGTATTCTAGTTTTTGTGTATGTCTAGTTACTAATGATGCTAAGGATGGTATATTGGTGCACTCCGATTGGTATCACGCTTCAAAGGTCCATCTCTTATACCTTAGCATCATTTGGTAGACATTATCTCCTATATTTCCTATCTAAGCATATGTGCAAGCTACAATCCAAACTTTTAGCACATATGTAGGGGGAGCAATTGCTACCATTTGGGGTTCATGAAACTTGTCCATATTCTTTTACACATGGTAAATATGCTTGGGCAAGCAACATGGATTCAACTAAAATTTAATTCATATCTTTGTGTAAGGGTTGTCATCAATTATCAAAAAGGAGGAGATTGAAAGCTCTAGTTTGGTTTTGGTGAATTGATGAAACCCTAAGTGCTAACCTAGTTTATCAAAGTGATCATGAGATAGGTAGCACATTCCAAGTGGTGAAGCAAATGAAGATCATGATATGATGATGGTAATTCCATGGTGATGATCAAGTGCTTGGACTTGGAAAACAAGAAAGAAAAACAAAAGGCTCAAGGCAAAGGTATAAGTGGTAGGAGCCTTTTCGTTTCAGTGATCAAGACACTTAGCGATGTGATCACATTTAGGTTTGATAGTCATACTATTAAGAGAGGTGAAACTCTATCGAAATACGGTTATCAAAGTGCCACTAGATGCTCTAACTCATTGCATATGCATTTAGGATCTACTGGAGTGCTAACACCCTTGAAAATGTTTGTGAAAATATGCTAACACATGTGCACAAGGTGATACACTTGGTGGTTGGCACATTTGAGCAAGGGTGAAGAAGATAGAGTTGAAAAGGAGTTGATCGCGCTGGTCAATGAATGACCGGACGCGTCCGGTATGGCGACCGGACGCGTCCAGTATTAACGACCGGACTCTGGCTCAGTGAAGTGATCGGACACTGGAGAGTTACTATTTCAGTGTCAGGTCAAAGTTGATCAACAAGTGTCGGTGTTCAGCGTAACAGTTGATCGAACGCTGGGAGCGTCCAGTCCGGAGTGACCGGACGCATCCGGTCGGCCCAGAGCGGCTCTGGGAGCTCTCTAGACTCGACCGGACGCTGAGTCTCCTGCGTCCGGTCCAAAGTGAACTCGGCGTACTAGACATGGAGCAGCGCACGCCACCGCCTGCCGTGAACTCGACGTCGGCTTAGCGTCGCCTCAAACGCTTCGTGGACAAAATAAAAAAAAAACCATGAACACCACCACTGCTGCAACTTCCCTCACCAGAGCAGCCCGAGGCTACCCCATGGCCAAAGATCCCGACGCGTAGCAGGCGCATTGCAGCACAAAGCCTTTCGCACATCCCTGCGTCAAAAAGGGAAGAGTTCCTTGTGAGGAAGCAGCTCGAGCACACTGAAGGACAGGCGGAGCTCGCGTCCACGGCGAAGCCGACATATGATGAAATCTTCGGCAACAACCCTGACCATATGCAGGCATTACGGGAGCTATTTCCGCCGGAGGGCGACGTTGGTGCGCACAAGAGGCGCCGCCAGCAGACCGCGAGAGCATAACTTGCCCCGGGTTTTCGCCAAGCACCTTGATTGCCTTCTAGAGCGAGTAATAGGCTAAGTGTCATGTCGGGTCGGGGAGACAATGAGCTTTATTGAAAATCTTTAAGTCGTCCCATTGTAATCAAACTATTCTCTCTTAATACAAAGATGTGCAAATCTTTTACGTGATCGAGAAAAAATATTAATATAGCAAAGGAAAATATCAGCAGTAGCGCTAAATAAATATGCTAGGTCTACAATAAGGATGCATAAGACGAGAATACTTTCCAAATAGTAGCTGAGCATGAAGTTTAACGTGAAGTGATTGCCTTGGATGAGCAAATTACCTATTTATTGTTAGACCACTATATATGTTCTTTTGCCATGTGGTTATCCTTGAGAATTGCTAGTAGCTACATCTTAAATATGCACCAAGTTTGGGATCTTGACTGATTAAAACATAGACTTAATCTATAACTGAATGGTCCAATCTTACTCCCTCTGTCTCAAAATAGAAGTCATTCTCGCTTTCCGAGAAGTCAATTTTTTTAACTTTGACAAATTATATATAAAAGAATATTAATATTTATAATACATAATTAGTATCATTAGATAGATCGTTGAATATGCTTTCATAATAAATTTATTTGGAGATATAAATATTACACGTATTATCTACAGACCTAGTCAAAGCTGAAAAAAATTGACCTACACGCATCTCATAACGTCGTTCTTTTTGGGACGGAGGAGCGAGTCATGTCCCATATCAGCATGATACACTGGTTAACACCATGAAAACACGGCTTTGCTATGTTTCTAGTCTGAGGGAAAACGAACCACCCAGTATCGTCATGGATGGCAGGATGGGTCAGGCCCAAAGTTAGTCATGAGTGGCAGGATGGGTCAGGCCCAAATGGCGCATCGAGGGTCATGCACAAGGGGCGGTTCACTTTCTGGCCGATGCTTCCTGGTGCAGCGTCGGAGCTGAGATTGATCCAATCCGAATCCGAATTACGACGATACGGAGAAGAACTTTTAAAATTCATGCGGATATGAAAATTTTGAATCTGATTTTGAGCGGATGCAGGGTAGAATACGGAATAGGTAAAATCCGGTGGATATGGATTATCCGCAATTTCTATGCAGATTATCCAATGTTTAAAATAGGATATCCGAAAGTTTTTCTTCCTAGACTAAAGAATTTGGGATTTAAAAAAGTTTGTTAGCTGAGAACTCTTTATTTTGTGATGTGGTTGTTTGATGTCCTAATTTTAAAATTAAGAATTTGCTAGGTGTTATTATTTATTGGCTAATAACTTATCATTTTTTAGTGAAAATGTCATGTTAAGTGTTAATTATCAGTGTGATAGCCGCAATATGGAATGCAATGCAAGATTATTATCTATTGCTTGTTCTTGGTTCTTTACTAAATCAATTCTTGACAAACTTATAATTCTCTACGTATGCACATATTACTCAACTATTTAAATCCGTCTCCGATCTGGTTTCGCTCCATATCCAGACCACTTCCGACATCCGAAAAAATCCACATCCACATCAAAATCCATGTATTATCCGCTCCGCACCAATCCGAAAAAGAAAAACGGATTAGGATATGAGAAAGGCATTATCCGCACCAATCCAATCCGTTTTCATCCCTAGCTGAGATCAATGCCTCGTGGCCCGTGTGCTTGTCCACTGAAAATTACCGCCATGAAGATTACCAGCACTAGTCACCGTATTCCTCCGTCTAAAGATAATAATTAACGTATCTCATTTTAATAAAAAAAACAATTTTTGTAAATGCTAAGTAATAATTATCCCAGTTAGATATAAATTCATACAGAGATAAAACTTGTATCAATAGATTTATATTCAAAATATCTCTACATTTAATATTATTTTTTTAAAAAAAATAACAACGTATTTAAAAAATTAATGGTTGAAATCTATGTTATAGTCTTTTCTCATCAAAATACTGTGTATCATCTCGTAATGGAGGGAGGAGTAATTTCAAGACGTATATGGGAATTGACACCATTATCTTTCCCTTAGGATGTTCCTGTGTTCAACTGTTACTCCGTTTCTGAGTATAAAAGAATCTTTGAATTAGAGATTCCTGAAAGACGACGGAAAATATTTAGGCATCCTTTAGATCCAAGGATTTTTATTTTATACTAGTATCAAAAAAATCATTGTTGGGGAGAACGTTCTTCTCGGCACCTAGGGTTTCCCTAGGCGACTCGAGCGGTTCAGTTGGTGGCGTCCGGATCTTCGTCTCTTCCTCCCTCTTCCTTAATCCTCTGAGCGCACCATTTCCTCAGAGATTCCTTGCCTAGGTTTTCCTCCTGTTCTGACTGCCCTCTACGTGTTTGGTACAGTTTTGCCCCGTGTGTCCACGAAAACCCCAAAACCCTAGTTTCTGCTAGCCCTTGTACCTTGTGTCCACAGACTTCCAGATCGCCTTTGGAGTGTTGGCAGTGCAGAGGCGGGCTCCCGAGTGGGGTTCCGATAGAGGGGGTGGAGGGGATGTTAAAGAAACTGCAACTATCATCGGAGGAGAAGAGAAGCATCAAGTTTGAGGCGGAGGCAGGGAGCGGGGAGAATGATCGCCCACCTCAGGCGGTCGCGAAGCTATTCTCGGAGAGGAATGTTTGTCCTGATGTCATTGAGCAGTCTGTGGGGTGGATCTGGTGCCCAACCAGGGGAATCTCATGCAAAGATCTTGGAGATAATGTCTTCTTGATCTCGTTCAACCAGGCGTCGGGTTTGAGGAGGACGTTGGATGATGGGCCCTGGATGATTTCAAAGGAACTCCTGGTGGTTACGGAGTTTGCTGAGGTGAAATCGGTGGATGAATTTGACTTCTCCATTGTTCCGATCTGGATGCGGGTGGAGCGCCTTCCTCTGGGTCTGATGAATCGGGCAGCAGCTAGGGCGATTGGTGATGATGTTGGAGAGTTCGTGGAGGTGGATGCGAATGGAAGTGACTTGGCAGTGGGCAGAGATCTGCGTCTCAAGGTCCGGATGGATATCTGTAAACCTCTCTGTCGGGGCATCTTAGCGGATCTGGGACCAGACAAAGGAGATTGGTGGTGCCCGATCACTTATAAACACTTGCCTGATTTCTGCTACATTTGCAGGCTGATCGGTCATGTGGATCGCCCTTGTTCAAAGAAGTTGGGGAAGGGTGAGAAAGCCCCATATAGTAGGGAGTTGCGGTATATACCACCTTGTAAGCCGATCGGGGGATTTGGACGATCGGGGTCGTGGAGAGCTGGGCATTCTGATAGCTGGAGCAGTGGAAGCAAGTCTCAGTCGGATGGTCCTTCTTGGAGGAAGGATGTAGAGAAGGGAGATGTGAAGGTGATCGAAGGAAGGAAGGATGATGGGGAAGAGGTGACGAGCCCTATAAAGGAGATGCAACTCTCGAAGAAGACCCCAGGTGTAGTGAGGACTGAGTTGTTTCCAAAGGAGGTGGGCGATGAGCATAGTAAGGGGCACGTGAACAGTACCATGCAAAAAGCCTAGAATACTCCAGCTGTGAAGAATAAGGAAGGGGAGAAAGATAAATTTGGGGGTAAGTTCAAGAGAGTGAAGAGGGATGGCAAGCGGCAGATGGGGGAAACGATCCCGGGGGAGACACGGAAGAACAGGAGAGGTAGGGGAGAGGATATGGATCTTGATGAGCAGGCTGAGGTGAAGAGGTCTGAAAGCATCTAGGCCCCAAGTTGGGTTTCGGTGATTAATGATAATACGAGATTACTATGACTAACGTGTGTTTTGCAGAGGCAATTAAGATAGGTCATGGTAATGGCAATTGATTGGGCAATCATAGTTGTCATGCTCCTACGATGGAAATCGTTTCGGTTTTCAAAGGATGGACGATAAGGTTAAGGATAGACTAGTTCTAAGTGTCGTTTGGTGTTGAAGAGACACTTAGAGTAGTTTAGGACTTTGTTTTTCCTTTGGCCATACTATTAAGGGGGTATGAACTAGTAGCTTAACCTAGGTGAGTCTAGTGGGTTAGGTGTGGTGCACACTTGTCAAATCTAGCACTAGGTAGCTTAGGAATAGCCCTAAGATCAATTAGAGCAAACTTCATTCACATATGATTTTGAGTTGGAAGTGAATGGAGGGTCAAATGACTGATCGAACGCTGGTCTGGTAGTGACCGGACGCTGAAGGGTGAGTCTGGTCAGTTCATTTGATCAACTGGAGCCATCTGATTGTGACCGGACACTGAGTGAAATGTGACCAGACGCTGGGTGCCAGAGTCCGGTCAACTCCAGAGAGGGAGTTTTCTAATCAGACGCGTCTGGTCAGTGCTGACCGGACGCTGGTCAGGATCCGGTTACTGACCGGACGCCGAACAGCGAAGTGACCGGACTCTAGGCGCTAGTGCCCGGTCAATATTAGTAAGGTTCCAGAGAGCAGTTTTCGTGACCGAACGCGTACGGTCAGTGCTGACCGGACGTAGGTCAGAGTCCGGTCACAACTTAACGGCTCTATGGCGGGGATAACTGACCGGAGCATCTAGTCACCTTGAACGGAGCGTCTGGTCACCCCGCAGAGTGCTGACTCAACCTCCTAACAGTTCATTTTGAATGAGGGGGTATAAATACTTCCTCTATTCATCCAAGGGAGGTCTCTTGCCCATTTGTTCAGCTGAGAAACACCCTTGAGAGTGTTTTGGAGAGCAAGAGCCTAGTGAGGTGATTGAGATTTGAAAATCCAAGATTAAGGCCTCATTAGTGCAAGGAGAGTAGCAAGTGTGCATCCACCCTTCTCATTAGGCTTGTTGTGGTCAAGTGAGAGTTCGTGCTTATTACTCTTGGTGATCGCCATCACCTAGACGGCTTGGTAGTGATCGGGAGTTTGGTGATCATCCGACAGAGCTTGTGGATGACCCAACTGAAGTTGTGAGCGGTTGTGGGCAATTCACCACGACGGAGTGTCGAAGAATCAGCCCATAGAGAGCACTTGATCCTTGCACGGATCAAGGGGGAGCTACACCCTTGCATGGGTGCTCCAACGAGGACTAGTGGGGAGTGACGACTCTCCGATACCTCAGCAAAACATCACCGCGTTCCTTCTCTCTTTACTTTAAGCATTTACATTTGAGCAATTCATTTCTTATCTTTACATTCTTAGAATTGCCATACTAGAGTAGGATTGGAACTTAGGTTGCTAAACTTTTGTATGGTAGATCAATAGATCGCATTCTAGGCACAAGGGGTGAAGTGGACTAAGTGTAGGGTTTAATTATTACAAAGAATTTTAGGATTAGCCCAATTCAAACCCCCCCCCCTCCCCCCCTCTTGGGCATCTTGATCCTTTCAAGCTCCAAGCGAGGTGTTTCGGTGGAGAAGGCATCCAAAGTTGAAACTGTTGAAGCGGGGCTGTCGGAACAACCCTGCACGCCCCAATGAAGATAATAGCTTGGAACTGCCGGGGGTTGGGAAATGCCCCGGCAGTTCGGGGGATTCTTCAGTGCCATAAAGCCAAAGAAGTTGACATTCTTTTATTGTCGGAAACAAAACTAGACGAGAAGAGGATGATTGTGCTCAAAAAGAAGTTGGGTGTGGAGAATTTGGAGGTGGTGGATTGTGAAGGAAAAGGCGGGGGGGGCTTCTTGCATGTTGTGGAGGAGATGAATCAGTGTGTTTTGAAGGGTTAATCAAAAAACCACATTGATGTGGAGGTCCTGGAGACTGGTGGACAAAAATGGCGGTTTACTGGGATTTATGGCGAACCTGAGTTGAAGTATAAAACTTGGGAACTTATGGAGTGGTTGAAGGATCAAGACAATGAACAACTCCCCTGGCTGTGCGCGGGAGATTTTAATGAAGTCCTCTTTCACCATGAGAAGGAAGGGGGGGTTCTGAGGGCTCAATCTTGTATTGATCGCTTCAAAGGTGCTTTGGAGGTATGTGAACTCGATGATCTTGGTTTCTCTGGTGACATTTTCACTTGGAGAAATAAGCAAACCACAGGTAATACACATATAAGGGAGAGGCTTGATCAAGCAGTGGCAAATGCAAGATGGCGTATGAAGTTTCTGTTTATGCATGTGAATAATGGAGATCCCTATCACTAGGATCATAGGCCTGTACTGTCAACTGAGATGATCCAAAGGGGCGGAGGAGGTGGATGTGGTTTCAAATTTGAAGCGAGTTGGATAAAAGATGAGGGTTGTTGAAAAATTATTGAAGAAGCATGGGCGCTGAGAGAGGGCGCTGGGTGCTGCTTAGGCGAGAGCCTTAGAGGAATAGCGGCTAGTCTGAAGGATTGGAGTGTGACTGTTTTGGAAGATTTAGAAAAACGTTTAAGGAAGACAAAGAAGGAGCTTGAGAGATGGAGAAGAGAGCTAATTAGTGATGAGTCGGTCAGGAGGGAGGCGATTTGGAGTTACAAAGTGGATCGGCTAGAGGAACAAATTGATATCTATTGGAGACAGAGAGCTCATGTGAATTGGCTGCAGTTCGGGGATCAAAACATGACTTATTTCCATAATGCGTGTTCAGCTAGGAGGAGGAGGAATAGAATTGGTAGTTTGCAGAGGGAGAACAGGAGTTGGATGTCTGATGAGGAGGAGAAGAAGGTGTTTATCTCTAACTATTTCTCCCAGCTTTTCACGTCAAGTGTGGGAGGCAACGGGGAGCACTTACAGCAACTCCTAGCTGCGGTGCAACCTGCTGTCACTCTAGAAATGAATGCCATGCTTACTGCGGAGTTTACCGTGGAGGAGATCAAGGGTGCACTGGATGCCATTGGTGACCTAAAAGCTCCCGGTCCAGATGGAATGCCGGCCATATTTTTCAAGCAATATTGGGATGGCGTGGGTGAGCAGCTTACCAAGGAGGTGATGACTGTGCTGAGAGGGGGCCGAATGCACCAAGGGTGGAATGACACGATCATCTCGTTGATTCCGAAGGTGGAGCGGCCACAAAAGGTTACTGATCTACGACCCATCAGCTTATGTAATGTGGTATACAAGGTTATTTCAAAAGTCCTGGCCAACAGACTAAGGGGTGTATTACCTGATATTATTACTCCTAACCAAAGTGCTTTCGTACCAGGAAGATTGATATCCGACAATATTCTTATAGCTTATGAGTTAACCCATTATTTGTTGAATAAGAGAAAAGGTAATTTGGGTTATGCTGCCATCAAATTAGATATGAGCAAAGCCTATGACAGGGTTGAATGGTGCTTTTGGAGAAAATGATGCAACATTTGGGGTTTAATGAGCAAAGGATCTCTTTGATCATGGAGTGTGTAACTACAGTGAAGTATCGTAAAAAGGTGAATGGTGAGCTTACAAACAGTTTTACTCCCGAAAGAGGTCTGCGGCGGGGGATCCCTTATCTCCTATTTATTCCTACTTTGTGTTAAAGCATTTTCAAATTTCACCGAAAAAAGGGGAAGCGGATGAATTGATCATTTGGAGTGAAGGTCCGCCATGGTGCACCAAGCATATCACACTTGTTGTTCGCCGATGATTCATTAGTTTTGATTCGAGCGAATGAGGGGGATCATGCCACCATAGAACACATACTCAACTCTATGAAGATTGTTCTGGCCAAGTGATAAACAAAGCAAAGTCAGCAATTATGTTTAGTAGGAACACAAAACCAGACCAGAGGAAGAAGGTGTGTGACTTACTACAAGTTACAAAAGAGACGATGAATGAGAGACATTTGGGTCTGCCGGTGCATGTTGGGCAGTCCAAGATGAAAACCTTTGCTTATCTGAAAGATCGTATTTGGAAACGAATGCAAGGATGGAATGAAAAATTCCTTTCATGGGCGGGCAAAGAGATTTTGATCAAGGCCGTTGCTCAAGCTATCCCTACATTTGCGATGGGCTGCTTTGATCTCTCTAAATCCTTGTGCGATCAAATTGGTGCTATGATTTGCCGGTTTTGGTGGAATCACTAGGAAGGAAAACATAAGATCCATTGGCTGAGTAAGGAACAGATGCTCAAACCGAAAGAAGAAGGAGGGTTGGGGTTTAGAGATATCCACCTATTCAATTTGGCAATGCTCGCTAAGCAAGTCTGGCGACTATGGCAGCAACCGGACTCCCTGTGCTCGCGGGTTCTGAAGGCCAAATACTTTCCCCATACATCCATTCTGGAAGCCAAGCCAAAGACGGGGATGTCTTATACGTGACGAAGCATTCTTGGTGGACTAGATGTGGTGAAGAAAGGCATGATTTGGAGAGTTGGTGATGGGACTGGGCTAAATATATGGTCGGATCCTTGGATTCCAAGGGAATTTTCCAGGAGACCGCGAACACCACGAGGCCATATTCTACTCTCGGAGGTGGACGAAATGATAGATCCTTATACTGGACAATGGGATGTGCAGTTGGTCCGAGACACTTTCTGGGAAGAAGATGCTGAGTTGGTCCTTGCGCTACCTGTCCATCAGGGTCGGGACAATAATCTTGCATGCATTATGACAAACATGGTGTTTTCAGTGTTAAAAGTGCTTACAAAGTGGCCCGAGCTGATTTCTTGAGGAACAAAATCACCTTTGGACAGCAAGGAGGAAGCAACTGCAATCCTGGCAACCCATGAAAAAATATCTGGAAGCTGAGATGCCCAAATAAAATCAAGCATTTTCTCTGGCGATTTGCACACAATAGCCACCCTTTGAGATGTAACTTAGCTCGTCGGGGCATGAAAATCTGCACCAGATGCCCAGTTTGCAATC